TATATATATGATATTGTGACGTACTAGAATTCTCGCGGATGATATCCGGAACGGTGACGTGTTTACACGCGTACGTACGTCGTGTTCCTCGCTCTAGAAGCTCACTCTAGAAGAAACGAAAGTTCGCGCATACAATGCGGCGCGTATGCGAAGCTACAGAATGCCGGAAGTGCCACCGGAAGTGCAAAAAAAAAATAAGCAGAGAAAAGCTACCGCGGCGTTTTACGTGCCGCGCTCTTGAATTTACGTGAATCATTAGGTTAAAAAGAAAGGGTATACCGGAGATATTGAAGAAAAACAAGAGGTGTCGCGTGAAACGAAGAGCGATGTGGGGGATGCCGGATAGAGGAATGCACTAACGAATGGGCGCGTTCATCTCTGGGGGTAAGGGGGCTCTCGAAGTAAAGCGGGGGAAGGGGGTCTGAAATTCGTGGACGTTAAAAACGTGATCGTTAAGATCAAATGAAACGCGAAGTAATAACTATTTCTAAGGTACTAAGCAACTCTCGAGGTTCCTGTCTGCAAAAGATGCTTTTCTAACGTAACGTTGGTAACGACGATTATTAATATTATATTTGAATTATTATTATTATTATTATTATAGATTACGATATTATATTTACATATATGTGGTCATGTATTGATTATTATCTATATAAACGTTACAGCGTTGAACTAGCGTACATTTAACACACGTACACGTTACAAAAGTGACACACGAGACATTTATGCACATATACACACTCATACAAACAAACACACACACACACACACACACACACACACATCTCTACACGTATCGGCACTCGTATACTATTACCACTAGGAACATCTAATCGAACCGCTAATATCGAAATTCTCAGCCGATCGTCTTTCCGACCGGCACGATCCACCTTTACAGGACGTACCGGGAAAAAAGTGAAAATCCAGAGCGGAATCTCTCTTCATGTAAAAAAAATAAAAAAAAATAAAAACCGATACCTCGCAAAATAAGACAATTAACGGGTGTGATCAAGTCGTAGAATTAATTAAGGCGATCGTCACGGAGTCGTGCGCGCGCGCGCGCGCGCGCGTTTTGACAACCGCAAATTCGTACTGTCTTCAGGATCATTGCAAACGATAAATCTATCACTACCACTAAGCACGAGGCAAGATGTTCCAAAAAGCGCCCGAGGGCCTCAAAAGCCGCGGCGCTAAGACTGTGAGAGAGAAGCGAAAAAAATTTATTTCCCTTCGCCGCGTTTCCTACATATGTATAGTGAGGTCATAGAGGGGCGGAAATGCACTTGAACGCACAATATGATGCGTCTCGACGGTATCCATCGCGATCTTTTTCGAATTTGCTCGCGAGAGAC